ATTGGCTCCAGGACAATATTTTCATTTTTATCCTAATTACCATAAATAAAATAAAGTGTAATCATTAAATTAAAAATACAATGAGTATTTGTCATATAAGAAGTAAAATTATTATAATTTCAACCTAACTATGGGTTTGAATTGAAATAATGCTGAAACTTACATCATTTGCCGGCAAAAAGTAGGTATTCCTCGCTTTCTCGAGAATGTCATCCATATCATCTACCGAATCGGATTGAAACGGTTTAATCACAACCAATTTGCCCGTCTTTTTCGCCCATTTCCTTCTGATCGCTAGTTTCAGGCGATTCGCAAACTTTTCCTTCGTATTCATGCGATACTCCGATAGCATACGAATCCGTGCGAACATTATGTGAAAGATCTCCTCCATATCGGGGGCCACCAGTCCCTTACCCACGAAGTCCACTATTTGGTTGACAATCAGTCTCACCTTAGCGTTTAAATTGGGCTCCTTTTTAATCTCTCGCATAATTTTATCTCTAAATGAGCCGGGCATCCCTTTAGTGATGAATATCAGTAGTATGTCGAGTACGTCATCATCTGTGAGACGATCCTCTCGTAAACGAGCCTCGCTTATGATGTCAACGATCACTGCTTTATAGGCCAACTGTTTGCGGAGTAATTTCGTGCAAATTATGGCCCCATCGAAATAGCCAAGCACTTCAAATTTGACATTTGGTGAAAGTGATTTTAGCAACTTTTCGTAGTACTCGTATACCTCTTTGAGCGTGGTCAGTTTACTCATTTCACGGCTCCAATTTAACGCAATCACCGGACGGTCGACTTTCTGAGCTAGCTCCTCAAATGCTAAATAACTGACCTCCAATGGGGGCAACACGTAGATTGGAGCTCCTTGCTCAACGTTATTCAGTCGGGTATGCGTTTCGGTGGGAATCAAGAATTTCATTTTTAGTAGGTTTGCCTTGGCGCGTTTTATATCATCCAGGTGCTTCTTGATTTCGCCAATTCTGCCGGCCTCGAAGTCCTTTAACATACCGATCGTAATACTCTTGACCTGATTGAGAGTCACTTTCATATTCCACTCCCTCTCCAGTTCCTGCTGTAACTCAACGGCAAACATAGACTCGATGCCGATCTCACCCAGGGTTAGGTGGTTGGGGGTGTTGTCGGGGTCTATGCCCAGTGCTCGCCAGAGTTCTTTAATAAGTCGCATTTGTCTACTACCAGAATCGCTTTTAGTTTGATCCACTTTTACCTATTAAATGAAGATTTTTTATTTTAAAATCAAAGTAAATAAATAATAAAATATATAATTTATATTATAGTCTCAACATCAATTAAAAATCAATAAATAGATTGTAAAATTAGAATTTAAGTATTATGTTTCGTATACTGAAGTTTACGAAAATATTAAATATATGTTGTAATGTATCTATTATAAATATGTCAATCAAAATATAATTTAAAAATTTAAAAATAGTGTTAGAATTATAGAAATTGTAATTTCCTGAACATACATATGATGTAACGATCGGCTGTTTAATTGTTAATAATTTGTCCAAAACATCGCAACACGAGTTGATTCGCTGTTTCTTTAGTGACGCGAATTGAAACATCTGTTCAGTCCCTTCAAACACTCCCACATCACCGACCGGTCCGTACTGTATGGCCAGACCATGGAGTCCATCATTACGTCTTTGTTCACAAATACGTTCACACATAGAGTTCCCAAACGAGTAGTTAGACTGACCTCCATTTCCTTTACCACAAGCCATGGATGAGAAGACAACAAAATAGTCCAAATTATAGTCCAATTTTCGGGTCAATTGATCCAAATTTGCGAAAATCTTATGTTTGGTATCAATAGACGAACAAAACTTATCAAACGTTAACTTCTCTATCAAACAGTCATTCAATTCAAGCGCCAAATGAAATACCCCTCCAATGGGTCCCAACCTTTGGGCCTCTTTTAGGAGTTGTTGTGTGCCTTCAATAGTTAAACAATCGACAGTCGATACGACGTAATCGCACTTAAAATAAGCAAGCTCTTCATAAAAAGACTTAGCCCGGTTATAAACCCATCGCTGATAATCAGTCTTAATCCCTGACCTGGAAGTGACCACAAACTTCCTTGCACCATAATACAACATCCAAGGCATTAGTTCGAGACCAAAGCCACCTAACCCTCCGGTGATTATATATACTTTGTTTGGATCGAAAAATGTCTTAACAGTAGCAATCACATTTGGTGCACACTTTATTAGTTTATGTGGTCCACGGGTAACCTCTTCGTCCCTTAATTTAAAGACAATTTTGCCCATATGTTTGCCGGTTAGCATATACCGGAAAGCCTTATCGTATTCATTGACATTAAATGTGGTGTAAGTAATGGGTTTAACGCATCCATTCTTCGAGTTTTTGTGAACCCAATCGTAAAACTCTGGGATGAAGTCCATGTCATTTGTAATAACTATATCGATACCAATACCGATAAACTGTATATTCCTCAAGAAGTCAAACATTCCCAGCTTTTTGTTCTGAAACATGTCGTACCGTCCGATTTCCACAAACCGCCCACTGTTTGCCACGCATTCATAGCTGGCGTCCAGTTTGTCACCGGACAGGGAGTTCAGTACGATATCAACTCCCCGGCCATCAGTCGCTTCCATAATGTCTAAGAACTTCTCTTATAGAGAACTCAACTTATAGGCCAAGTGTCCTTACAATATGAGGAAGTGTTCCTTAACGAAAAAGAGAAGGCAGGGTTGGCAGTGTATCTATTCGCACCCGTAGTGGAGACACATGTTTAGAGCCGACTGTCCCACACCTCCCGCCGCTGAATGAATTAGTATGCTCTCACCTATTAATTTATAATTATAATAAAATATAATATATAACTATAAATTTATCTAATTATAATTGACCTCGTTTCAAATTAGCTCTTTTGATTAAAGCGTAATACAATGTGCTGTAAGTGTGGAGAATAGTCACGGCTTCAGTCATAGACCAGTGCTCGGGAATAGGAGTTATGTTATGAATGTTAGCGTTCAGTGATGTGGCAAAAGTACGGCCAATACTTATACCCATCACCCGTTCCCCGGTATCAGCCCTTCGACCCACGTATTCACAGCCCAGGGCACAATCGGTAAACAGTTGTTCAGGGCCAGTTGGGATGCGGCCTGTGTAATATATCATACATTATTAATAAATACCAATTGATATATTATAATTATATAAATGAACCTGTTGCCATCATAACGTCGTGAAATGAAAGACCCGCGTAATAAATCTCGACACGTGTTTTCTCAACATACTTATTGTTGACATCATATATCTCTTTAGTCTGAGATATATTTTTTGAGTCATACCACTGAAGGCCTCCGAGATCACCAAATTTGGATGAATTTAAATAGTAGTCATTTGATATGCATTTGTCGTAATCCGTGGGAAGTCTTAAGTGTCGATAAGTTCCCACTTTTCCCTCTTTCACGACATTCGCCACCAAATCGTTGGCCAATATATCGCTATAAGGGCTGACATTGAAGTCTATATCCATTGGACTACCAGTGCTGTCGTAATTGAAAATATATCTCCAGTTCTCTCNCATTGGACTACCAGTGCTGTCGTAATTGAAAATATATCTCCAGTTCTCTCCTCCCGGTTCTAATCGCAAGCAATTCATGAGACCTATTATGCCATTAATGGACGAGTCGTTTGCTACGAGCCATACGTTATCCGTCTTATTGTCCACTTCTTTAGCGGCAATCAGTTTTTCCTGCAATACTCCAAACCATTTCTGGTAATCACCGCCCGTTATATTAATTATATTACTTTTATCCGGAATTTTTGTGTTTCTCTGACTTTGCCTGAATAATAGGGCTATAGTGCCTATTGTGTTATATTTAGTCGCAATTAACCGCAAATATCTTGAATCGCAAATAGATACATAATTTTCGATACGATTCATGAGGTCTGTATCACTGAGAACAGCCTTTCCATTCAATGAATTCAACGCGAGTTCCGGTTCCGTAAACTTATAGCGGAATACCGTTAATAGGAATCCGTTTGATTGTAACGAATCATATATTTGTTGTATAAATCCATTCATGTCATTATGCCATAAGTCCGGTGTGTCTCTCATTATCACCAAATGTGACGGTTTTAGTGAGAGGTCGTCCTTTGGGTCCCATTCCGTGGCATTATTTCTGAAGACTTCGTTCACATTCTCTTTGGACTTAACAACCAATTTATAGTCAGTATTGAAGGGATATAAACGGAATTGTGATATAAAATTGTCCACATCTTTGGCCAACACATCGCTACTTAAGTTGATTTCAGTTATACTTAAGTCATTAGTCGTGACAAAGTTCTCAGAAACCATATCCACAAGAGTTCGGATCAATCGCTCATTCCTTGAGATCTGGTTTATTAAGTCTTTACTCAAATCGTATTCAGGATTCGCGTAAATTTCGTTCAATACTTTGTTAAAATTAAAGTTGTTTTTAATGATTTTCGTCTTATCGCTCACATCTGACAGAATTTTATCGAATACCCGAAACATAACGTGATTTTCATTGTTTGCATTTCTGTACTCTTCTATCACTTCATCGCTGATCGACTCGACTTTAAAATTGCATTTTATTTCATTGAAACCCATTTGCTTCACTTTAAACGCTATAGTTTTGCAAACCTAATTAAATACAAACAAATAAGTAATATAAATTTATATTACATTTTTAATACTACTACTAAGTATCAAGCTAATAGCATATTTCACTCACCTCTATATACTCTGTTAAAGTATTCAATTCTAAGGCATCAATTGCCTCCATATCATCATTAGGACAGAAATGATACGAATCGGTCACGAGGTTCATGGTGTCGGTGCGTCGTGGTATGGGGAACACCATGACGTCTTCCACTTCTATACCATGCGCTACCATACGTCGCGATTTGGCGTTAAAATAAAATGGTAAGTCAGCAGGGTATTTGGCATACTTTTCGTTGATCCTATGTTTTTGATCTGAATATTGAATAGAAATTAGCAAATTGTTCTGGTAACTTGATCATCTCAATCTCACCATTTTGACTATTCAAATACAACAAATCCTCATCTACAGGAGCCAGGTCATCATCAATCCGCTTAACCGGCGCAAACTCTTTGCGATTCTTCCGTATATTGTCGAACAGTACCTGTGGGTCGACCCGTACCGCCCGTATCATCACCGGCACCATTAGCTTACGGAACGGCATCGTAAAGGCCATGGACTGCAAGAGTGCGTCCATATATGTGATCCAATTGCCGGTCCACTCGTTTACGCCGTATATCTCACGGAAGTTATTTGTGGCCACTTTTTGCAATCTTTGAAACTCCGGTCCGTAATCCAGACCCAAAATACTCAACTCTTTGTAGATGTCTTTCCGGTCCAGAGAGTAGGCATTTCCCGGCAGGGTATCTAATTGTTTCTCGTACAATTTGTTTTGTTGCAGTAATACCTCGTCATCTGGTGATCGCACCCGACCCACGACACACACGTTGTCGTTCTCCAGCACTACGAACTCGTCTATAGAGGGGACAGACATGTCAGTGAGATAATATAAATTGAGCAATTTAAATAGTAAAAAAAACAAATAGCATACCTGTGATGGGATAGTACTTAACTGTTAGTTCAGTTTTTTGGGATTCAGTTATAAAGACCACTCGTTTTAATTGAACGTTTTCAAACACGACCGGCACCTGATACCATAGTTTCCCAATGGTTGCCGCCAATTTACGCCAGGCCAACATTAAATAACCAGTCGCCGGGAATAGAGCATTTCCATCGACAGCATGATCCAGGTAGAAACCATCTGTTTTATTTAAGGCAACGTTAACAGTAATATGTGTGTCCGACGATGTAGCACGGCAATACTTCAATGGATATAGTTTATGATTAAATCGCCGGCTGTGATCCCATTTAATGAGTGATCCAATAGACGGGGTACCCCTCGGCACCGGCCACTCGACTGGTTGGTACAGGTTCTCAATGAACAGATTGTAACCCAATTCGTAAAGTGTTGCCAATCCGGACAAAAACATATCCAGATTTGTATCGTTTGAGTCCTTTTTAATGAGCGATACGTACGACGAGTTGTCCAGTGTTTCGGTCACCACTTTCTGAAACAATGAATGCGGACCTATCTCTAAGATTACCGCATCGGAGGGTAGTTCCTTGAACTTATCGTAGAAATTAACCGGGTTCATTAAATTATATACAAAATATTCTCCTGAAGCATATTTCAGAGATTGATCATCATTGTTTGAGTTCATTAGAGAAGTGGACAACCATTTTCTTGATCTAAGTTTAGGATTAGGAATGTATTTCTTGATGGCGTCAGTCATAGGCTGTGCACTGGATATGAGATATTGTGAATGATATGGGATTTCACTGCTCTGTAGTCGTCGAACAAATACTGCCTTTTCTTCCAATGATTTAATCATTTCTTTCATTTCTTTTATGGGACCTGAAAGTGGTTTTTAATTATTAACTTAAATGTAATAATATTTTTATAATTTAATTACCGGAAACAACAACACTATCTTTCGAGTTATGACAAGCAATGAGAACCCCTTTCGGACATAATTTCTTTGTCTCAGCCTTAGAGAGACCGACGACTGCCATCAAACCCTTCGGTATTTTATTATCGTTTTCGGTGAAAAAACCTCTGAAATACGTGACAATCATAGCATCCCTTGTGGACAGACATCCGTCAGCGTAAGCGCAGGCGATCTCACCAAACGAGTGGCC